TGGGTGGGATGGAAAATGAGGCAGTGTGGTTCTACTGTGCAGTTATTCTGTAATCTTTAGCATCTGTGGCCTCAGCCCTGAGTCCCTCTTGACCATGGCAGATTGTTCACAGAGCAGTAATGCCACCCTGAAAACAATGAGGGTCAGCTGCCATCTCCTGAGTTCACTGGTCACATTCATCACTGTGGTCAATGTATGAGTTATCCGTGGTGGTAAAAGGTAGACAAGAGGCACAAGCTGTTGAGGGGAACATCCTCTGTTAAAGAAGGTTCTAGGAATGACACATGGAATGCTTAATTTGTTAAAGTGCTCAACTACAACTTATTAAAACAAGTAATGGAAAGGTGTCTACTAGTGGAAAGTATGGTATAATCTGAGGGGCTTCTGGAAAAGTACAAAAAAAAAAAAAAAAGCACATAAAAAGGATTATGCTCACAGTTCCAGCAATCATGAGGGAAAACTTAGAGCTTTGTCTTAGATCATCACAGCTCTAAGTTGAATATATCCTTAGTTGGACACCAGGTCCTTTAACTCTTCATGGACACTAAGTAAAAATTATGTCATCACTGTGTTCTACCTCTTCTCTAACCTTCTAATCTGAAGTCTTATTTTCTCAATGGACATTAAGACTGCAAAAAAGAAAGTCCATCATGGGCAAGTGATCAATTTAAGTATAGCCTATAAACCACTTCCCTAAACGGGGGTTACCAAAATCTGGGTGAGAAATCTAAACTTCCCAGTCTGCTGAGCTGAGGTTTATACCCAAGAGCAGAAGGGTAAGTATCCATCATCATCAGTGGCTACTTGTCCTTGAAATTAGTGGACGGCCTGAGCAGTCACTTGTAAGTCCAGTGGGCAGTGGCCCAGCCCTGGCCCTTGCACAGATCCCGGTGACGAAGGTAACAGGCATGGACTCGGAATCGACGGCCACAATGGGGACAGGCATGCAGAGCTCCAGCATGGGTCTTCATGTGCTCTGTCAGATGGTGCTTTAACTTGAAGCGCTTGTTACAGATACCACAGCCAAAAGGCCGAAGGCTGAAGGTCAGCATGATGTGCCGGTCGCGTTTTGGTTTTACTGCAAACCGCTTCCCACATAAGCAACCAAAGCGTTTTCCATCTGCTGGTGGTGCTCCACCCAGCTTTACAGGCCCATGCACAGCCTGCCCTGTTCCTCCAGGTCCTCCACCCCCAGACAGGATTTCATTCCCATGAAGATCCACTGGTTTCCAGGACGGACCCCCTCCTCCTGATATTGTACCTGTTCCTGGGGGCAGTAAGAATCTTAGCTCCCCATTCCCTTCAGCATCTCCTCCAGGAAATGCTTTGATCTCCTCTTTTATTCCTCCAGACTGAGTTCCACCTCCTGTTATCTCCTCCTTAGGCTCAAAGGGCTCCTGCTTAATGTAGAAGATTTTGGGAGACAGTGAGGTGGGGGGAGCAGTAGACTCAACTGGTGTATTCTCACCTTCTGGATGCCTGTGGGGAGCAGTTATGGGCAGCGGGTGGGTCCCACGAGCATGGGCAAAACTCCCTGATACTCTCTGAGGTTGAGAAGTCTGAGACAGTGAGGTTGCTGATCCTTGGTCCTCCTCCTCTTCTTCTTCCTCCTCCTCCTCCTCATCTTCTTCCACCTGAATCTGTAACACTTCTCCCAGTTCACTTCCCTCCCCTCCAATGGGGCTCTCGGTAGAAGCAGGACTCTCAGTAGAAGCAGAAGACTGTACTGGGGCCTGGAAAGGGGAGGAGCGAATACACCACCCTCCTGGAGAGGATGTGGGAAGAACTGTGTGGAAGGAGGCTCCTCCACGGGCTGAAATTCCACTCCCTGAAATTTCTAGTTCTCTAAGAATCTCTGAGCATTGATCTACTACTTGCCACATCTGAAGGCCACTGGCTACAAGAAGATGGGCAGGGAGAGCATCCAGAGGCAGGCGGAGGTGCCCAGAATAAATGAGCTGAAGTAGCCCCTCGAAAGCATCAGCTTCAATGACACTCGGCAGCGTGAGTCGTGGCGCATCCCCCAGAAGCAACTTGTCATGGAAGTAAGGAGAAGCAGCAGCCAACACTGCTTTGTGAGCCCGAAGTTCCCGCCCCTGCACCAGGAGAGACACATCACAAAACTTTCCCTCTAGCCTGTGGCGGTTCAGAGATTCCAGCAGCGACGAGCTATGCTGAGGGAACTCGATCTGGATGGTTCGTGGGGCTGGGTTGCAGATCGGGGAGGACACTGCAGGAGGCAAAGGCGTCGAAGAATCCATGGCCTCCAGGAAAGGCAGAATTCTGGAGTGTTGGGAAAAGATGCAAGTCTGAAGGGAGACTCCACTGAGGACGAAGGCTGTGGGGAATAGGGATGGAAGTCACGGAGGGCTGTGCGGATGAGGAGAAACGTGTCTCCTCAGACAACAACCACCCCGCCCAAGGTGGAAACTTTTCTTTATTTTCTTTTGGTCGGTCGTGGGGCTTGAACTCTGGGCCAGCGCGCTGTCCCTGAGCTCTTTTGCTCAAAGCTAGTGCTCTACCACTTTGAGCTGCAGTGCCACTTCCGGTTTTCTGGTGGTTTATTGGAGATCAGAGTCTCACGGACTTTCTTGCCCGGGCTGGCTTTGAACCGCGATCCTCAGATCTCAGCCTCCAGGGTGGCTAGGATTACAGGCGTGAGCCACCAACGCCCAGCTCCAGGGCGGAAACTTTTCTGCAGTTCCTACAAATCAGTCAACACCTCTCTCCAAGAGAAAACCAACAAAATACTAACCTGGGTTTTAACCTGCAGGCCCTGTGAAGATGAGGAGGTCGGCGCTTCATCAACGATCCAGCTCTCGGAAGCCCGGGACGCCTCCTGCCCCGCAGCTCTGCCCCGGCTCACGGGCCACACACTTGCTGGCTCCGGGACTGTTTACCCAAGAATGTGGCCAAGAATCCCAGCCTGGCTGCCTTAGGCGCCGGCACGCCCCCGCCGTTCCACACGCGGGGCCGACCTCGCGGCACCACTACCGCCACAACGCCTTCCCGGCCGGAAGTCGCCACCTCCCCACCGGACGTCCTCGCTGAGCCTGCGGGGCGGGACGAGGGTCGAGGCCAATTGGAGGGCAGCACGCTACAAGCCTCGTGCCGATTGGTTGCGTGGCGAAAAGGGTGGGGCCAGTAGAGAGCCTCAGATCCCAGAACCCACAGGGTGGTGTCTCAGAGGAGTATGGGTGGCCGCCCTGGCTGGGGAGCCGAGGCTTTGGAGAGCGCAATCCGTCGGCCGTCGCGTAAAGCTGCGTTTCCTGGTGGCTAAGCGTAGCGTCCCGGTCGGTGTTGAGGGGGCCGAGATTAATTAGGCACCTACTGTGTGGACTGAGCACTGGCCCCTGGTACCTCGTGTCCTCCCACCAGCCTTGGAGGTAGGTGTTGCCACGCGAGGGAAACAGACCCAAGAGTAATTATTAAGCTGGCAAGTGGTTGTCTGGAGCCCACGTTTGCTAAGGAACCACAGGCTTTATCCTCTTTTTTTTTTTTCATCGAACCATTTTTACCAACAATAAAATCTTATGTCTAGACAATTTACATATTCGTAGATACAGACTTGGACTCTTTTGTCAGGTAATGCTGGTGTGTTCATCCTCAGCTTCCTTGGGGCTACGTGAAGCCTTGGGGGGAAGGGCGGGGGAGAGTTAGGAGCGATGGTGGCATCAGGCAGGGGCATATGGCTTTGCTTCCAGGCTGTCGGCTTCTCAAAAAATAATACCCTGATACCCTTCTGGTCCGTCTGGAGACCCCAGGCTAAGAAAGTCAGCACAGCAATAAAAGAACAATCTCCGTTTATTAAACATGATTTTTTCTGTTTCACCACACACTCCAGAAAAAAAGGAAATGGGGCTGGGAGTGGAGAAAAGGGAGAAGTTGGGGGGGGGGGAGGCAGAGAAGACGGGAGTGGGCTAGGGAGGGAGAACGAGAAAACAAAATAAAATAGGTAGGAAGAGCATCTTCCTACTCTTAAGGTGCTGAGTGGGAAGGGAAGCGGAGGGTCGGGGGGAGGAGGGGGCCAGGAAGCTCTGTACAGAGGGGTCGCCCCCAGCCCACACACACACACACCCCGGATATGTACAGTACAAACCCCAGATAATTACAACAGCCAAAGAGAGGAAGAGGGGGTCCGAGGCAGGGCCTGAGGTGTGGGGAAAGCAGAGGAAAGGGCACAGGGATAAAATTTCACATATTTACAACTTTTATATAAGTATAAATTTGGCCCCGGCTGGGTGTATGTGTGTTGGGGGAAGGGACTGAAGGGGAACTGTCCATACAAAAGAAAGAAGGATGGAGTCTAGGAAGAGTCTCAATACCAAACGCAAGAAGGAATGAGGGGGGGGCAAGGCTGAGTAGGGGATAGCAGTCAGGGAAGAGGGGGTGCCAGGGAGGGGCTTCTCCCTCCCCATGGCCTACCCACCCTGAACCCCATCCATCCTACCTCCCCTATCCCGCCAGAGAGCTATGTACAGAGAAACACCGAAAAATTGTGAGGCTGGCGGGAAAGAGGGAGGTGGAAGGAGACTGGGGCAGGGGGAGGATGAGAGGGAAGCCCAGCCCTGTCCTACCTCCCCCTGGGGGGACAGAGTCATGGAAAGGGGCCCCCCAACACCCCTCCTCTAACACAGGTCCCCCCACCCTGGGGGAGAGAGACATGGCTTTTCCTAGAGTAAATTCCCCCCTCCCCCTGGGAGTAGAGACCAAGAAGAGAGAGGGGAGGGGCAGAGGGACTGTGTGTGTGCATGGTAGGGCAGATCAACTAGACTGTCCTCAACACACACACACACCCTCCTAAACCCTAATCCCTCACCCTAACCTCAATTCCACCCCACCCAACACACTGGGGGAGGGGGGGGCATAAGCCCCCTCACCCCGCTCTGGGACCAGCCGAGAGCAGATCAGGTGTGGAAGGAAGGGGAGACAACTCCCATTCCCTCCTTGCCGCCCCCTCCCTGCCCCGGTGGCCCCCTCCACCCCATCTGGGTTCTGGGTGGGGAGGGAGTAAATTTAAGAGTGGTAGGAGAAGGAGTTTGTGCGTGCTGAGCCCCCCCCAGACGCTCCTGAGAAATCAAGGGGTAATAGGGTCCCCTCACCCGGGGTCCCCTCCCCATAACAAGGGGGGCAGGGGAGGCCAAAATGGGGCGGTGGAGGGGAGTTAAGATTGTCAGCTCTGGTTACTGCTAAAAAAATCACCCTGAAGTTGAAAGTTTGGAGGTGCCACACCCCCAGGGTGGGAGTGAGGGTCTGTCCCCCAGTGCTCAGGGGAACAATGAGGCAGAGGATGGGGATAGCACCCCAGAGTGAAGGGGTCTGTGTGGGGTAGGTGGTATCCTAGGGCAAGGGTCCCTGGGGGTCAGGGGACAGCACCCGACAGGAAGGAAAAGAGGGCGGCTGAGGGTCCCCACTCTCCCTCCTGGAAATGGTGCAGTGGGGGGTGGGAGGGATTGGTGTCCCTCGAGGAGGCATTCAGGGAGGCAATCCCGCTGTCCCTCAGTGGTGTCCAGTCCTGGTAATTGGTGCTGTTCCAGGATGGGGTGCACAGGGAAGGAGAAGAAGGTCTGTGATGCTGGGTGGGCTAGTGGTCTGCGGTGTTTCGGAACTCGCCGTTCTCCGTGATCTGCAGCCGGGGTGGGGGGGGCGGGGCTGGGGGGGCCAGGCCATTCCAAGGTGGGGCCAGCGTCACACGCGGGTTTGTTGGACCCAAGGGGGGAAGCTGCCTCTCCTGCAAGACACCAAAGAGGGGAGCGCGGACTTATTGAGACGCTTCGCGGGGACCTGGATGCTAGCCCCTAGCAGTAGCCTCCCCCACAGCCAGCCTACTCCACAGCCATGTCCACCCCCTCCTCCTAGGACAGTCCCCACAATCCTGTTTTGTTTCTCACCTGCAGTATCTTCTGGGATCAGGGAATCTCACCCCCAGACTTCTTCAAGCCTTCACCCCAGAGTCACTCCATGAAACCACTCAGAAGCAGCAAGCTCCCTTGTCACTCCTCCCCCCCCCCAGCCTAATCCCACTAGCTTCACCTATTTATCATCACCTGCCCTGACCACCCTCCCCCTTGTGGGACCCCCCTCCCTGCCCACCCCCAATCCCATGTAGGACTTTACATGGAGGAACCAGGGGCGGCAGTACAGCAAAACCTCATTAATCCAAACCCCTGTGGATTTGGAACTTTTTTTCATAATTTGAACAGAAACTGGGCTTGAGTTTTCCTTTATCTGTGAAGAAAGGGTGTGCTAAGCAAATTAGTGGTGGAAATGTGTCTGTGGGAGGGGACATTTAACTTAAACCAACAAACATTGCTCAAGCCTATCTACTCATTAAAGCATGCTCCCTGAGGGCCTGAGTGGAAAAGGCCTTGTCCGTGAAGTTCTACTTACTGTATATATTTTGAAGACATACATTTCATTAAACAGACATTGTCATTCGGTCTTGTCACTTATTCAGAGTGACCATCTTCTCAAATATAACATCCCAAATGAGAGAGGTTTAACTGGGGTGAGAAGGGTCAGGGCAGTGATGTGGGAAGGGAAAATCTTGTGAGAGGGAGCCTCTCCCACATTCGATGGAAGTGACTGAGAACCTCTGCAGGAACACAGCAAGGCCCCAATCTCTGCATTCATACAATGCCAAAACTGGCTCTGATCCTTTCCACTCCCGCCTTCCTTTCATTCCCTAGCTCTGGCCTCACAGCTGGAGGGTGAGGGGTGCCAGACCCCACGCCCACCCTTGGTTCTCACCACCTCCTATCTCTCCCTGTATCAGCTCCTGGGTCTTGCCCTCAGAAAACTCTTCTGTTCCTCTGCCAGGAGAGAAGAAAGCCACCTGAGGTCCCCACACTTCTGGCCACTTAACTTGGCTTTTTACAGTTCAGGCTCAGAACTACAAGGTTGAGATGGAGAAGTGGTTTAGAACAAATGTCTAAATTTTTGAGCCACAGGGTATTTAGTTAGGCCTGACAACCTATAGTTATATCTGACCATCATTTAAAGGCTCCCAGGGCAGCTCTTCCTTTCCATCCAGGATCAAAGATGCACCTAGAAGGTTACCTAAACTCTTGTCTTTAAGCAAGGCTGCCTCTCTTAGCTCCCTGGTTATCTCATGCTCTGCTAGTCAGTGGGAGAGATTGGAGAGATTATATGTGGCTAGAGTGCCCTGAGTATATATGGCGAGAGAGCAGGGGAAGGAACCCTCAGATTTCCTTCCCTCTACTTGTCTGCTCATGATGGCACATGGGCATGCCCCTTACACCCCCATGGACCCAAATTTAGAAAGTAGATAAATTAGGGTGCCATTATTCATTTTACAAAAGCATTCACTGCAGGAGTCCTTTAAATGATGAAGTCCCCTGGTGCCTTTTAGCATCTGTTTACAGATCACTAACTACTTTGACAGAGAGGCTGGGCAGGCAGAGAGTTAAAATTACAGTGCAAAGAGCCATTGCCCACTGCAGATCAATCCCACAGAAATAAAGCATCTCAGAAATGATAGCTGTGGCTGACAAGTTCCCATTTACTGGCTTTTAAGGTAGGATTACATAGGCAACAAGGCCATGGGATGGTGGGAGAGGAGGAGTGAGTTCATTAGCAACCTGGACATGTGAGCTCTGACAGGAATAGAAGGTTATTTAACATGCTGTTCCTGGCATTTCTGCCTGGGAACCAGCATGGCTGGTGAGCCCTGACAGGATCAAGGGAGATAACCTCACCTCACTTCTCTCAGGCACCCAGGCTAGTCCATAGCCTAACAGCTGTCCAATATTCCCTCTTGTTCCTCCTAAGTCCCCTGAGTTCCAACTTCCCACTCCCAATTCTCACCAAGTGGGGAGAGAGCATGAGCACAACTATCTTTTGCCTCACAGGTCTAAAATGGGGAAGAGTAAAAGGAAAGGAACAGGAAGAAGGAAGGGTAGAAAACCAGGGTTAGGGAAGGAAGGGGAAATCCCAACGTACCTTTTGCAGTCAGTACAGCCCCTATCGGCCAGGGCCCCTCAACCCATCATTTTCCTCCACCCTTTAGAACCCACCCTAGCACCCCACCCCCCAAGGACGCTCTGGTGAAATGGGGGGTGACAGACATACATTGGAGAGGTAGAGGAAGGGGAGGGTGTAATCAGGAGGAGTGGGCTTGGAGGGAAGAGTGGGACCTGTGAATGTGCTAGGTCCAGCTTGGGTGAAATTCAGTACTTGTACTAAAGCATCACAGGGTGATTGTGGGGGCATCAGCAAGTGCGCTCTGATGGTGCCATGGGAAGGTCTCTGAGGAGGTGTCAGGAGGGTAGGGTCTGAGGGCGCTCTCTGGGTGTGGAAGGCAGCAGTGAGAGGGGAGAGGCTTCATGACCAACCTGCAGTGGTCCGGAGTCACCTCCCCCAGTGTCCTCCGCCCGTGGTCAAAGCGGAACCAGGAGAATTACCTGATGAGGAGCTGCAGGGGGAGAGAGTGGGGTCATGGGGTCAGGGCCTTCGTGGTAGTGACAGAGAGGCCTGGTGGTCAGAGCAGAGGAAGGAGTATGGGTAGGGAAGAACAGGATCTGGGGACAGCAAGGAGGGAGAGGCCACCAAGCTGGCTGGGAAGCATAGAGGGTAGCAGCAGGGAGCCCGGTAGTGAGTCGAGCGGGAGGCCAGAGAAGGCCAAAGGAAGAGGGGTGGATTTAGGCACTGAAGAAAGGGGTTAATAGGAGGCCCTCGGGATCTGAAGAGTTGGGAAGAGGAAACTATATCCGAGCTTCCAGGGAGTCAGACTAGAGGGAGTTAGAAGAAGCGAGGTGATGGGGACTCCAAGTCTCTAAGGGCTTGAGGACACTACAGTTCAGACTGCTCCGTGCTTCATTCTAGCAAAGAGCAACTTTTAGCCCTTCTAGCCCAACAAGAACAGATTAGAGAGGCTGAACTCTGCCTTGAACAGGAGCGAACAAAGGCACAGCAGCGGTTCAGAGAATAGGTGAGAACGTGGCAGAGGCTGAGGTTCTGGTAGGAGGTCCTGAGATGCAGACAGGAGTGGGAAGACGGGCAGGAAGGCACGGGGTGGGGCTGACACTGCCAGGAGTGACACAGGCACAGATGATGGAATGAAGATGGGTCACTGAGGGGCTGCATGGGGGGAGCAGCCGGCAGACGAACGGAGGACAATGGGAGACAGCTGTGATGCGGCTGGGGTGGCTGGTGCAGTGAGTGCACAAAGGACAGTGGGATGGATGGGGATGGGACACGGAGAAGATAAATGACATTGTAATTTCCACCTGAGCGTCGAGCAGCCTCTTCTTGGGTTCAGGCAGCGGCTCAGCCATGGCGGGGTGGTCCCGGCGCAGCTCCTCCTCCACCAGCATCAGCCTGAAGGGACGGGCTTCAGTGGGGTTAGTGGCGGGCACAGGCTGGGCTCCTGCCCATGAAACTCCTGACTGCCTCAGGCATCCTTCTCCCCTTCCTGCAGAATCTCCGTTGTCACCCAGAAGACTCCCTTGTCACTCAGGGTCCTCCACCTTCCTCTTAGAGACCCTCATGTCTCCCTACTGAAGACAGACTTCTGTCCTTAAAGACCTCTGACACCCAAACACCCCAGCCCTCCTTCCCCTGTAGAACCTCTGTGGCTGAACACCTGGCTTCTACCTCCAGTGACATCCCAAGATACCCCTTGCCCAGGGCCCAGGACCGGTCTCCATAATTAGTATGCCCAGCTTTCCCTGCCTTTGGTGAAGATTCTCAAGGTCATATAAAGGCTATCAGTAAACAAAGCAGGTACCAAAATGTTTTTGTTGTTTTTTTTTTTTTTCGCCAGTCATGGGGCCTGAACTCTGGGCCTGGGCACTGTCCCTCAGCTCTTCAGCTCAAGGCTAGCGCTCTACCACTAGAGCCACAGTGACACTTCCAGCTTTTTCTGCTTATATGGTGCTGAGGAATCGAACCCAGAGCTTCATGCATGCAAGGCAAGCACTCTACCACTGAGCCACCTTCCCAGCCCCAAGCCATTCTATTTCTTACTCCAACATTTACAAGGGATCAAAATAGCTGGCTCGGCTTAGAGTGAGGTTTGAATTCTCCACCCTTGATTCTCAAGATAACTGACCCCCTTGATGAGATGCCTACTTTGGGGAGTCAGAAACAAGCACAGTCGCAAAGACACTTTTTGACGAAACCCTTTGCCAAGGCTGGAGAAGGAGTTCTGTCCTGGAGTACTCAGGGCTCCTGTGACTAGAGTCCCTGCTTTGCTCTGGGGTGAGCTTCACACGCCGAGTTGAGAGGTAACCTGTGGGCAGTTCTGGCCTAGGCTGCAGCCAGACACTGGTTGCTACATATCCCAAGGGCTTCAGAAGTTACTCATCAGCAGGTTTCTCCCCACAAGGTGATAAGCGGCGACTCCTTGGGAAGAGCCTGATGGGACCCCCTGAATCAGGCAGGGATCTGGAAAAGCAGCCCAGTCCCTGCTCCTTTCAGCCTCACGCTCCCTTGCCACCCCTCCCCGGGCCGCCCCTCACCTGCCAATGATGCTCTTGATCTGTGAGTCCTTTTCCACTTGCTGCTGCCTCAGCCGCTTCTCACTTTGCTCCAGTCGGGCTTGATACTGCATCAGGATTTTGCTGGTTTGTTCTTCCTGAGACAGCAGCCTCCGCTCATACTCTTCCAGCTTCCGATTGGACATGTGGAGCCGCTCCTTCAGTGAGTGGATCTCCTCCTCGTACTCCTTCACCTGCCCGCCGGGCACATGACCCCGCACTATGAGGGGCGCCCTTCCCTGACCCCACCAACCAGTCCCTATCCTCGTCTACCCAGGAGAGCCACTGCATGGAGGAGCATCAAATCCTCTCCCTTCCTGTGGACCATACTCAGCATGCTTGAGAGAAGGCCCAGCAGGATGCTGAGGCTCACTCAAGATGGAACAAGGTTACAGACCCACACCCTAACAGGTGTATCTGTGCCTGCACATCCCTTTCAGCACAGAGCCACTTAGACACACCTTGTGTAAATGTTCCTAGAAATGAAAGATGGAGGGATTTATCAGCTCCAAGCTGAGATTGAGTATGTGGGAGAGAGATAGGAAGAAAGGACACTGGACTGGAGTGGGCAGGGATAGGTATATCCTACATGTGACTTTTCTTAAGTGTCCTGGGGACTGTAGGTCATCAAGGGGCTCTGAGGCTGAAAATCTAGGAATGCCACTGCAAATAGAACCCTGGAGTTCCACAGCCAAAAGGACTCAGTCATTTTAGTATTTTTTTCAATTTTTGTTTACAAGAATTATTTTATGTTTCCTATAGACTGTATGTGCTGCCTAATATGGTAGCCACAAGCCACATGTAGCTTTTTTTTTTTTTTTCCAGTGCTGAGGATTGAACCCAGGGCCTCACCACCAAGTAACATGTAGTTATTTCAAAGTTAAATTATTTATTTTTTTATTTTTATTTTTTTGGGTCCGGTCGTGGGCCTGAACTCTGGGCCTAGGTGCTGTCCCTCAGCTCTTCAGCTCAAGTCTAGCACTCTACCACTTGAGCCACAGCACCACTTCTGGCTTTTTTTTTTTTTTCCTGCTTATGTGGTGCTGAGGAATTGAACCCAGGGTCTCATGCATGCAAGGCAAGCGCTCTACCAGAGCCACCTTCCCAGACCCAAATAATTTATTTCTTGAATCATAACAAGTCACACATCTAATACAATAGCCACTAGCCACATGTAGCTACCATTCTTTTTTTTTTTTTTTTTTTGATCGGTCGTGGGGCTTGAACTCTGGGCTGAACGCTGTCCCTCAGCTCTTCAGCTCAAGGCTAGTGCTCTACCACTTGAGCTACAGCACCACCTCTGGTTTTCTGGTGATTTATTGGAGATAAGAGTTTCACGGACTTTCCTGCCCGGGCTGGCTTTGAACCGCAATCCTCAGATCTCAGCCTCCTGAGTAGCTAGGATTACAGGCGTGAGCCACCAACGCCTTGCATTCTTAACAGTGCACATCACAGGACTTTTCATCACTGCACAAAGTTCTTTTGGAGAAAACTAGTCTGATGCCTTCTCAACAATTTTCCTCCCTTATTTGAAGTAGAGACTGGAGGAAGAACCTGAGAGGTTTTTACCATTCTGTGAAGGGGAAAAATATATAAACAACCCCCTTCTAGGTGCAGAGGAGAGATGTGAGTTCACTGTTTATGATAGGTGCCTTGGAGAATTGGGGCTTCATTTGCTCTTGGAACTCGCTGGACCAAGTCCATTAAGTCAGTGCAACATTACCTATGCTCCAACTTCTTCCTAAAACACCATCTCCTCCCCTACATGGTAGTCATAGGCTTTTTATATATGACCTAATCCTGCAGTCACCCTTTTCCAGGCCCTTCCTGCAAATTACCTGCAGGTGCCTCAAGGCTCTCAGGACTATCTGCCCTCAGTTCCCACCAACCAAGATTCTATAGAGTCCTTATCCCATTGAGGAATCTGTACCAATTTAGATCATGTAACCCACACCCACTGAGTCTCTGCCACCCACCTCATAGGTCAGTGATTGGGTACCCCAGCCATTGCTTGCACAGCCTCTGCCAGGCTGAGCTGAGTAGCTCCCACTGCTAGTGAAGGAAAATTTCCCTTCCTGAGCAGTCCCAGAAGTAGGGGTAAGATTGTCTCTGGGGAAGAACATGGCAGCAAGCCTAATTAGAACATGTTTCTCTCCTGTCTATACTGTACATAACCCACAAAATAGAGTTTAATCACTTTTTAAATGGATTGTCATCTTGTCTCCCTTAATGGCCTGAAGCCTTCTCAAAATGGAACCAGGTCCTTTTCTTTTCACCATAACTATCTGAGCCTGTATGTTTTCCTTGGAGGGACTAAAGTGAAAAGGGGAGCTAGGGCTGGAGGGAGGGAGGGCAGGGCCAGCGTACCCTATCTAGCCGGCTCTCATCCATGGATTTCGAGTACTCCTTGAGCTTGTACTCTTCCCGTTCAATGTGGGCGCTCTCAATGTCCGCCGACAGGTGAGGCATATTGGAGACCCAAGCCACAGTTCGTTCAGAGGCTGGCATCGTGGGGTTCAGCGTGGATGGCGTCTGAGAATGCTGGGGCATGGCAAGGTAGAGGCAGACAAGACAGCAGAAAGGTAGGAAAAGGCAAGATGCATTTAGAGAGAAAAACTGGAGCCAGCAACTGATATAGCCCCAGACCCACGCCCATAGTCAACCCTTCTCCCCTCGCAATGCTAGGGAAGGAAATAATTGGTTTTATCTTCCCTCTGGAGGGAGAGTACTATGAGGGCAGGCATTTTTGTGTTCACTGTGCCTAATAAGCACATGGCACATTGCAGGCAATTACGTTTTGTTTAAAGAACCAGAGGAGGGAAGAAAACCCCATGCTGTGGCCTCCCTACCCATCACCCCATTTCCTCTTTCCCTCCCAGCTCTTCGCCCACCCCACCACTTCCCTCCTACCCTCACCTACCTGCTTGGTGATGGAGGGCTTGAGCCCCCCACCCCCTCCGCCACCGCTGCCCCCGCTGCCCCCAATGCTGCCCTCCTTGCTGAGGCTCTGTTGCCGTGGACGGGAGGGGCCGTAACTCGGCTCTGGGGACTGCAATAGGTTCCCGCTGGATGGCCGGGGTTTCTGGGCAGCGCTGACCGTCAACTGCTGAGACTTGCCCCTCTGCAAGGGAGGCGGCTGGCCCCCGCCACCCCCACCACTGCCCCCACCACTCCCACCTCCGGGCCCTGAGGGAGCTGGCCTCTGGGGACCGATAGTGATCTGGGGAGGGGACAGCATATGCTGCAGGTTGTCCTGGAGTGAGAGCTGCCGACGGGTGAAGTCAGTGCCAGAGGGTCCAAACTCATCACTGTAACTGTGGCTGTGAAGGATGGAGGCGGCGGGGGGCTTGGGGACCCCGGAGGAGAGGTCCTCACTCTTGCTATAGCCATGGAATGGGGCAAAGGTGTCCCCTGGGGGCTCTCCACCTCGGTGGTGATGGTGGTGGTGATGATGATGATGCGATGAGGGTGGGCCGTGGCCGCCACCCCCTCCGTGGCCCCCTGGGGGTCCTGGCCCATCAGCAGCCATATGGAAGAGAGGGTTCTGGAAGGAGAGGGGGATGCGCAGTTGCTGGGCAGGGACACCGTCCGTGGTGACACCCATCTGGCTGAGGCGCATGCCAGCTGCCGTGATGGATGAGCCACTCCCCTGGGAGAGGCGTCCAGCAGGTGCAGGCCGAAGCCCCAAGGCCGCTGTCAGTGAGGCCTGGCTTGAATGCAACAGGTCTCCAACAGCTGCCAGGTTGGAAACGCTACTGCTGTTGAGGCGGCCACCAGGCCCATCACCTTGCAGGTCCAGCATGGACACACTCTTATTGACACTCAGCATCTTCTGCTCTGGCTCTGTGATGTCCGAGCTGCTTGTGCAATATGCTGGTGAGGACCGGGCCAGTGGCGGCCTGCTCACATAGAACAGGTCTTTACCCCCACCAGGTGGCGGTGGGGGAGGTTTTTCCTTGGTGGGGGAGGGGAGGCGAGCCATGTCCATAGAGCTGTTAGAAGGGAAGGAGACACACAAGCAGAACGTAAGTCCAGGGCTACTGGCAACTGAGCCTGCTGTGGTCTGGTAAAGGCCTGGAGTGTAAAGTGGGACCCAGGGCAGGGCTCAGAGCTGGTGGTGGCAGCCCTGAAGAGGCAGGCAGGGATGCAGGAGGGGACAGGTGGGAAAAGGGAAAGGACAAGGCCCCCTCCAAGGACAGGGGTGAGACCTACAGCAGGAGAAGGGATGAGGGCCAGTTTGGGCAGATATGGAGGAGATGAGGTGCACTGAGGAGAGGAGAGGAGGAGGGCGAAGGCCAGTGGAGCAAGAGAGGGCTGGGGAGGGGAGAGCCCCTCACCTGTTGAGGCCTCGTGCCATGAAGGACTGAAGGTCGATGGAGCTGGAGAGAGATGGGAAGAGGGGCGAGCACAGACAGATGGAGAGAGGTATGGATGGATGGAAGGAGTGGCCAGAATAGTGGGATGGGTGTAGCATCATGGAGGAAGAGACATGAGCAGAGGAACAGCAGGGTGATCATCAAATAAGGAACAGCAGCTGAGGCCCAGGCCCACCCTATCAGACCAGATGCAGTGGCCCCTAAGCAGGCTTCCAGCTGCTGCTTGTCTAAGGGCTGGATCGTGGAGGGAGGCTCTGCAAGGTTCTGGCGGGGACCGGGGAAGTGCTTATTTGCCAAGCCCCACCGTGATAGGGGCTATTTTGAAACTACATGGCTGAAACAAGTGCTGGCCAAAGCTCAGTCTGGAGACAGGCATGGGCAGGCAGAAAAACCAAGGCAAGTGAGAGCTTGCAATGGGGATCCCCTGGGCTTCCAGCTAAGCTCCGAGCACTTCTGAGGCTCTGGCTCCTTCTGGCTTTGAAGGCTTCCCACTGCCTGCAACCTGTCTTCTTACCATTTTCCCCCTGAGAACTTGCTGCCTTTCCCCTTTCAAGCCCTACAAAGATGCATGTGGGGCCCAGTGAGACGTATCCAGAACAGGTGAGGGATCCCAGGATATAGGGGTGGAGGTCCCAACTCACCTGTTGAGGTCCCGCATCATGTAGCCCTGCATCTCTGCCGATGGCCCCCGCAGCACCACAGGCTGAGGCCGGGGCCGCTCACTCTGGCGGCTCGGCTGCCTTTGGATGTTGGGGTTCCTCAGGGCTGTGCTGATATCATTGAGGAGCCGGGGTAGTGGGCCCAGCTTCAGGAGGGCTTCCTAGAAGGGCAAGGCTGTTACCTGGGGGCTGAGTGACCAGGTTTAAGAGGGCCACAGAGGGTGTCTGAGCTAGAGTCGTGTTGGTAACATTTCAGGGAATGGGCAAAGGAGAGAAATCTGTATGGAGGGCAGTTTCTCAGGCCTCAGGTTGTCAATAAAAGTGCCTGGGATGGGGCAAAGGGGGCATTTGCTGACCTTGCTGAGCTGGGGCAGCACCTCCCAAAGTAGGGCATGCAGTGTGGAGAGCTCGCGGCCCAAGTCAATGTAGCCCTCAAAGCTACTGCTGTTGGTCAACGTGTCCAGGTTGGAGATCTCGTACAGGAACTGCTGCATGGAACCCCACTCCAGCTCCAGAAACTCATTCATGAAACCCAGAAAGTCCTCCTTTGAGGTAAACCTGGCCAAGGGATCCAGACAGTAGAGGTCACACAGGTGCAGAAGGCCTCACACCCAGCCCTGTCTCAGGGTCTCTGGGAACTCAGGGGACCCTTCTTGCCCCCTACAGCCTGACCCCACCCTGCCTATAGCCTCCCTCACTTGGAAAAGTTGGCCAGGTTCTGGATGACCTTGGCGATGAGGGTGAGGGTTCGTGAGGTCTGCTCATCTGGGTACTCCTGCATGAGCCCAAAGAGACTGGGCGACATAATGGCTGGGCAGAGGAAGCGCAGGAAGAGCGAGGCGCTGATGAGTCTGTCCGCGATGTCCTCCCGGCCCCGCTCTGCACAGCGCAATCTCCAAGATGCAAACACCTCCTTCAGCTCCCTCGGGAACACGCTGGGGGGAAGGGATGGGGAGACAGAGAGAGAGAAAGAGAAAGAGAGAGACCGGGACTGAGCCCCAGAGACCCTCAGCTTCCAGGGAACATGCTGAGGGGGTGGCAGGAGGTGAGGGTGTGGAGACAGAGGTGGGAGAGACAGGGAGGAAGAGACCGCAGGAGGAAGAGGCAAGGCTGCTGGAAGCAGAGGACCATGGTAGAGGGGACAGACAGATTCTGGAGAGAGAAATGGAGGGGGAAAGGTGAGGGGAAAGAGACACGTGCGAGAGTGACAGAGGGGTGGGGGAGAGAGACAAGGAGAGGAGGAGAAGAAAAACAGACACCAGGGAGAGACAGAGATGGGAGAGAGATGGAGGGTCACTTGAGATACAGGGAGCTCGGACCCCCCAACTCTTCTGGATTCCAGGGAAATGGGGATGGATGTGCCCCAGGCATGATCCCCAGTCCCTGGAATGGCTCAGAGCTTACTCTTCCCCGCCCCCAGTTACCACTTCAATGTCCCACTGACACCTTAAACTTGACTAGTGTAAAAAGGAGCTCACCATCGCCCCCACACCTCCAACTGGCTCCGCCTCCTGACTTTCCTGGTTCTGTCAATGAGGCCACCGGTCTCCCAACCACCAGCCTCATGGCCTCTTGAGTCATCTCTGACTCCCCACAGACGTGGCCCCCTCCTTTCCAATCCACTGAAAGCTCCCCACCCATCTCTCAGCTGGTCCTTGCAACAGCCTCCTTCTATGTTTCCTGTCATCGTCTTTACTCAAGATATGATATTTATGCCTGACCTATTAATCACAGCCCCCAACAGCCTGGACTTCATTCTCCCTACTCTCTAATTTTGATCATCCACCAGCTACCTCTACTGATGGATTAATTTTCTCAATCCTGCTTTTTCCTGGTACCCAACACACCTTTAGTCACATCTCTTGGCCTACAAAAGAAACTCCAGAACCTTCCAGATTTAACTAATTCTCTGTCCACACATCTCCCATTCCACATCCATTATGAGCCACATACTCCACTAAGCCTCTTTTAGTTGTCATTCCCTGCAAGCTCCTGGGTCTTCTTACCCTCATCCATGTGCCTGTCCCACGGTTTTCAGAAATGTCTCTGCCCACCATAAGCAAACCCAGTGCTAAAAACCTAGTCCCAGGCACCTCTTCCTTATCTCAAAGCCCTGCCTTTTCAGATTTGGCTTTGCACAGAGGACCCTCCTTCCGCACTTAACACAGTAGTGGTTCTTTCCCTTGTTGTGCATCTCAATTGTCCCTACTCGTTCTGGGGTAGGCTCCTCTGAGGGCAGGGACCAGGCCTATGCACCTGTCTGCTCTACAGCACCCAGAATAATGCTTTGCCCATAACTGGTGCTCAGTCCTCTTGGAGGATGGACAGATGGATGAACAGATGAACACACAATTGCCCCAACCCCCCAGCCCAGCGTTCCCAGTCTCACCAATGGGAGTTGACCACCTTGCACAAGGCCAACTCACAGCACATTCGCAGGTTGGCCTGGTGCTCTGCCAAACTGGATGCGGTACACTTGATGGGATCTACTTCGCAGTTCTCCTCGGATTCATACAGCGCACGGATGAACTCCCCTGGGGGGTGGGGACACAACAGGGAGTAGTCACACTCTCCAAGGGCAGGGACAAGGGTCCCTGGCTTGGAGAATGGCAAAGTCCAGTGGTTGGAGACTAGGATCCTGGGACTGAGGGTAACTTGGGGAGTGGGGAATCTGCGTCTGACGTTGGGAAAGGTATCTGGTGGGTTTGGGAAGGGGCCTGGAGGTGGGCCATACCAATGGCATCCTTGAGGTATTTCTGACCAATCAGTCTCATATACTCTTCTATGGCTTTAGTGGCGAGCGTGTTCTCGCGGAATATGAGGTGCTCTCGTTCCATGAACCGGTCTACCTCTGACATGGCCATGTCTGAAAGGAAGTCCTGGGACCCAGAAAAACCCAAGAGTCAGTCCAGTCCTCCTTGTCCCCCACATCACTGCTGACTCCCAAGCCACCTTTCCCTGAAGGCACAGTACCCACCTTGGCCTTGCCTGTACTCTGCAGGATATGAACCAGTGCACTGGCAACCTCTTCCTTGCCCTTGACATTCAGGGCGGGCTCTAATACTGCACACAGCATCCGATAATGGTTGGTGACATACTCTGCAAACTCTTTATACAACTCCATGGGCAGGATGCTCATTGTCTGGTAACGTGCCTTCAGCCTCACCGCCGGACAACCTCCTTTACCCTTGCCCCCTGAGCCACTCCCGGAACCCCCTCCCCCTCCTGACCCCATGCCCCCAGATCCCCCACTGCCTGTTGGTAGGGTCACAGGGTACCACTGCTCTGTGAAGTGGCGCCCAGCCAGGGTGGCCACTGGCACAGTCACCAGGCCCACATAGCCCGCCTTGTCCTTCTTGCGCTTTTTGTCTGAGTCACGATATAGATGCAGCCGCAGGGCACGGACAGCCGGCAGGTTGTTAAACTCAAAGTGCTCGCCCCAGAAGACGGTGTCCCCCGAGGCTGAGCGAGGCTTGGAGGTGGTGCGTGCATATAGCATGTCATCCAGGCAGAGCTCACAGTAGTAGCGCTTCTTGGGGGGCAGTTCTCGGGCCTCTATGATCCATAGTTTCAGCACATTATCTACCCGGCGGCTGTTGTCCTGGCATGGGGAGGTGTTAGGATGGATAAAAGAAAAAAGGGACAGAAAGACAGAGAGACCAAAAGAGGAGAGACAGTGAGAAAGTGGGATGGAGAGAGCCATCCTAAGGCTGAGAAACTGGGTTGAACAGTTTCTCCCCCCCCCCCCCCAATTTATGTCCATCCAGAACCTATGAATGTGACCCCATTCCTAAATAAGATCCTTGCAGAGGCAATCAAATAAAGATGAGGGCATACTGGATTGGGGTGTACTCTTAGTCCAGTGGCTAATGGCTTTATTATATGGAGAGGGAGATCTGGAGATAGAGATATACAGAAGGAAGCTTACCATGTAGGAGGCAAAAAACTAGATGGATCTAGCTATCCAGGGGCAGGGAACCTTTTTTCTGTCAAAAATCATTTAGATATTATAACATCATTTGTGGGCCACTTAAAATTATTAGTACAGGCTGGGAAGGTGGCTCAGTGGTAGAGCGCTTGCCTTGCATGTATGAGGCCCTGGGTTCGATTCCTCAGCACCATATAAGCAGAAAAAAAAAGCCAGAAGTGGTGCTGTGGCTCAAGTGGTAGAGCGCTAGCCTTGAGCTGAAGAGCTGAGGGACAGCGCCCAGGCCCAGAGTTCAGGCCCCACGACCGGACCCAAAAAAAAAAAAAAAATTATCAGTACAGAAAAACAAACTTTGGGAAGCTGTCATGAAATGTACTTGTTTGTCCTGTCATGTCCCAGATGATTTGAAGGGCTTTATATGACCTACAGCCTGCCCAGTCATTCCTCACCTCTGCACCAAAGATGTCCAAGGATTGCTGGGAGAGGTAAAGGACTCTTCTTGAGCCACAGCTCCCCTCTGGCCTTTTTGGTGGTTAACTGGAGGTAAGAATTTCATGGAAGCTGGGTGCCAATGGCTCATACCTATAATCCTAGCTACTTGGGAGGCTGAGATCTGATGATCACAGTTCAAAACCAGCCTGGGCAGGAAAGCCTGTGAGACTCTTTTGTCTCCAATTAACCACCAGAAAACCAGAAGTGGTGCAGAAGTAGTAGATCACTAGGCTCAGGGACAGAATTCAGGCTCTGAATTCAAGCCCCATTACTGACTCCCCCACCCCCACCCCCCCCAAAAAAAAAGTTTCATAGACTTTCCTGCCCAGGCTGGCTCTGAACCACAATCCTCAGATCTCAAGCTTCCCAAGCTGCTAGTATTACAGGCATGAGCCACTGGCACTCAGCTTAGGTAGAATTTTTTACTGGGGAGGCAGACAGGGCCTTTTGCTTGCTCAGCAGGTACTCTACCATTTGAGCCATGCTCCCAGTCCTTTATGTTTTCATTATTTTTCCCCATTTTAATATGATCCTCACTCTTTTTGCCTGGGCCAGCTTGGAACACTTCCAGGTGTGTTTCATTACATCTAACATTTTATTAGTTGAGATCTCTTGAACTTTCTGGCCGGGGTGGCCTTGAACCTCAATCTTCCTAATCTCAGTCTCCCAGTTATCTAGGACTACAGGTGTGACTCACCTTACTTAGGTAGAATTTTTTAAGAAAAACACTGTGGCTCAGGTGGTAAAGTGTTTGCTTATCCTGAGTTCAAGCCCCAGTACTGATCCCCCCCCAAAAAAACCCCAAAATTCACAAAAACATTCTTAGGAAGGGCATTAAGGTTGCAAGTGTAACTCAAATGGTAGAACATTTGCCTAGCAGGCACAAGAGCCTGAATTCAAACCTTAGCACTGACCAAATAGACTACCATTTGAAAAATAAGAATCCCCTCTCACCCCCATCCCCCAGAGGAGGGAGATTAGGACTGTGAGTGAGCTTGCTAGAAACTGAGTGAGGGAGACTAGCTGACAAAACTGAAAGCATTTCTCCTGGGAAATAAAAGTCTTAGGAAGGCCACAGATTTGTAGAATGTTTGTGCCAAAGGGACCTTAGAGTCCAACTCCCTTCCCACCCATTTTACAAAGAGGAAACTAAGTAAGGTACGAACACTTGACCAGCTGAATGTTGTGGATCCCAAAAAAAAAAAAAACAGTGCAAGTGGGAGCTGGGTGACCACCTGTCTGATGTTAATGAGGCATTACTGCCTGCAAAAAAGGTGGATCACAGCTGACAAATCAGAGCCCAGTCACTTAGGATTCCTATAGGAGGTAAACATCCTGAGGTTGGGTAGCAGTCTGGAAAGGAAAAGAAGGGCTGGGAAGGTCACTCAGTGGTAGAGCGCTTGCCTTGCATGCATGAGGCCCTGGGTTTGATTCCTCAGCACCACATAAGCAGAAAAAGCTGGAAGTGGCGCTGTGGCTCAAGTGGTAGAGCGCTAGCCTTGAGCTGAAGAGCTGAGGGACAGTGCCCAGGCCCAGAGTTCAGGCCCCACGACCCACCAAAAAAAAAAAAAAAAATAGGGATTCAAGGACAGTGGCACACCTGTAATCAATCCCAGCTGACGAGAGGCAGGTAGATCACAAGTTTGAGCCCAGAAACAGCAAAGGTGGAGAGACCCTGTCCCCAAATGCAAAATAAAAATGAAAGGGCTAGGGGAATGGCACATGTGAGAGTTTGCCCAGCATGTATAAGGCCCTCGGGGTCCAATCCTCAATTAAAAAAAAAATGAAAACCCTTTCCTTTAGCCCATTAGACCTCCAGCCTTCTTTTGTGGCTTGTCTTTTGTCCTAGACATACTATCCATGTCTCCTTACTCTCCAATACCTTGTTGGGTTTTACTGCGCGTTGTAGATTCTCGATCCATTTGTCCCTCTCAGCTGCAGACCGACAGGCAAAGCATTTTGTTCCAGATGATGTTGTCACCTAGAAAGGGGTATAGAATTAAGAGCTCAAGCTCCAGAGCAGAGGTGGCTCCCACCATTACTTCCTCCCAGGCCTATCCTAGCCCAGAGGCTTCTAGTTCATGCCCCCTGGTCTTTCTTAGCCCACTAGACCCAGTAAGTACCTCAAAACAGAACTCCTGGCCCAGAATAGAGCTGTGCACTGGCTTGATAATAGAATCTTCATCCAAGTTAAGCTCCAAGGCTTCAGCTGCACTGCTTGGACTCAGCAGGGATTCATGGGAGTGAGACTCCTTAAAGCTTTGCATCAGCCGGGCCCTGGCAGGTGGGGAGTTTGAGGAGAGGATCAGGAACACGACTCTCCTTACACACTCAAGAGCCCTGCCTCATCATATGGCTCTGGAGTGGAGACTTGCAGAGACGACCTCCTGAACCCCTCCATACACAGAATCGAACTCACAGAAAGAAAACCTAGCCTCCTCTGGAAAAGGTCATGGGGGCATGAGAGAAACCAGGAACTCCCTACCCTCCCTAAGGAGTTGAAAGGACTAGGGACACCCAGAAATACATCAATTCAGAATTGGGCAATGCAGAAAAAGAAGGAGGAAGGGTATAGGAGGAATAAAACGAAATGAAAAAAAGAAAGGGCCTAGACTAAGTAGGGCCTCTAGTTGACCCCAGAAAACCAGAGACTCAATATAAGGTAAAAATGGAAACAAACTGGAGTAATACAGAAGATATGATATGGTCTGCCTGGACCTGACACACAGTACCAACATTTCATGATAGAAAAAATGAATGGATGGATGGATGGATGAATGAATGAGTAAGGTAAGAAGATAAATTTTAGCAGAGAATGAGAGAATGAGGAAAGACATGGAAGAAAGAAGAGAAAGCCGTGGGAAGAAAGGGGCAGACTGAAGGTCAGAGATTGGAGATGGGAACGGAGGAAGAAGGAGAGGAAGGGCAAAGACTAAGGGGAGAAAAGGCGTGTGCAGCAAGACAGAGTGAAAAGAAGGGGCTAATAGAGAGATGGACAGGACAGAAATGAGGGCCGACATGCACACAGCACTGCGGAGGAGCAGAAGGTAAATGGAGCTGGGGGAACAGCATAGGGGGGGGCAGCAGAACAAGCGTGTGGAGATGGGTAGGGGATGAAGAGTGGAGAGCAGTCGGGAAGCAGGAGGGGGAGCTTGGGTGTGGGAGCCTCCATGAAGTTATTTATAGCAGCCCCGTCATCACAGGCACTGGCTGCCGTCAGCGCCACGCTCCCCCGGCCCCCCCGCCCCCGCGGCCAGGAATACCATGCCCTCACCCCCTGCTGGTCCCAAATCCAGCTCTGGTGACATGGGTGGGGGGGCAGGGAAAGGTGTGATTCACCTTATCCCTAACCCCTACCTGCCCAATTCCAGGGACAACTAGCCGTGAAAGGGGTGGGGAGTGGGAAATGGACAGGGTTCTCCCCAGGGAAGTGACTGGATGGGGGAAACCCAGAGAGTGACCTCAAGAAGGAGATAACAGAGGCAGACAGCACAGCGAGAGGTCTGAAGTTCAGCCTCAGGGCAGTGGCCCTTGGACTGGTGCTTCTCGGAGCCTTGATCCATAAATTCACCCCTCCCAACCTCTGCTCCTCATTCTGTCACCCTGCACACCTGTCCTAGCCTACCCTCCCCAGTCTTCCTCTTCACTGTCCCTTCCCCCTTCCATTGATGAGGCCCCTGAGCCCTAGACTTTCCCTGCTAACATGACCCTGGCCCCCACTCCAACCTGCTGGCCCCTTCCCTCACACCTTTCCCCCCTCCCATCCTTAGATTCCTTTTCTAGGCTGGCTTTGTCTCTTCTTTCTGTCCCACTGTACATGTCCCTAGATCCTGGGCTAGAGCCTATCTTCTGTTAGCCTGAGGTACCATCCTTCACTTCACCTTCACCCCCTTTCTTATCCCTATGGGTCCTCTCTCTGCACCCTACTGATGCTCAAAGCCTAGCCTGGCTCCTCTCTGTCCTCCCTCTGGCCTGTTCCTGATCATCCATGACATCCCTCAACCAATCTAAGCTTTTCAGCCTTTGTATTCAGGTAGTCTTCTCTTGCCCCTCTCCCCCACCCTGTGCCCTAGAACCCCTATATCACAAGTATCTTTATCCCCACATGCTGCAGCCCCTGTACCTGTCATGGTCAGCACTTCGGAAGCGAGGCAGGATCTGGCGAAAGCTGCTGGTCCGGTCAAGTTTGGGTTGTGACTTGGTGCGTTTGATGGAGCTTTTTAGCCGCCGGCTCAGGAAGCCTTGCTGGGGAGGAAATGGGAATAGGGGTGGGTTGGGGTAGGACCAGCTCCCTACCTACTCATCCTCTTCTAGTAGAGTCCCTGGAAGGTAGTGGGATGGAAGAAAGGAAAGTCTCTAGTGGCAAGGAAAGAGGGATAGGAGCCCTGATACCAGTTTGTCTTCTTTGCTCCCACGGGTGCGTGCCTGCCGTGTGGTGAAAGCAAATACACAAACACACACCAGCTTGGCGAAGGTGGGAGGGCTGGTCCGAGAAGCAGGGGGCAGAGCCAAGAGGGGGAAAACCAAAAAAGTGCAGGGACTCTCTCTCTCTCTCTCTCTCTCTCTCTCTCCCTCTCTCTCTCCCTCTCCCTCTCCCTCCTGCCTGCCCCCTTTTGCAGAATCCTTAGACTCCAGCTGGGGCTGGAGGGGAGGAGGCCCAGCTGAGCTACATCTGGCAGCACTTCCATTCACTCACCGAGGGCCGGAAGGGTGCAGCGGGGGCGGCCTCCATGCTGTACTGCTTCCCCCCTGGGACACTCTTCCTCCTCGAGCGACCCAAGTGGTATTCTGGAGGGGAGGAAAGGATCCAAGGAAAAGTTGGGGAAGGGTCCTAGGGGAAGGGCTGTTCGCCACCCTGACCCCAACCCACTCCCCTCCCTCCCTCAGCCCCTCAGCTCTGGCCTCACCTACCCCCTGGAAAACAGCAGGAAGAGCAGCGGCGACGGAGAGGCTGGCGGTGGGAAGGAGGGGGCAAGGAACCAGAGCCAGAGCCCCCTGAGGGGGATGGGGTGGGTGGCCGTAAGCCCATGACTGGGGTCCAGTCAGCAAGGTGACATGGCCAAAAGGATCAGTAAAACCCCAGTAATGGAGGCTAGCAGAAGACCCAGGGAGGCTAAGTCCCTGCTGCCCATCCCCCCAGGAGGGACTAGCTGGGAGATCAAGATGGGTTAAAGGTCATTGCCTGTGGGCAGTCTTTCCTCTTCTCCCAGTGGGGACATCCCCCATCTGCCCCCCACCTCCCAGGACCCCTGACTATGGGGAAGGCCAGGGCTGCCTCTCATGACCCCCTCCCTGGACTGGAGGGGGAAGTCTCCAAAAGGACCTGTGAGGAGTGGTAGGGGGAGAAGCCTGTGGACAGAAAACCCAAGGAAGGGGCAGATGGGGCAATGGAGAAAAAGCCAGTTCCACGTGCACTGCAGTGGCAGGGACCCAGAGGGAAGGGGAAGAAGGAGAAAGAAAAGAATGCCGGGGAGTGGGCAGAGCCGGCAGTCAGGGTTCTGGGGACTCCCAAATAAAGGTAGCAGAGGAGGAGGGGAGATGAATGCGGATGAAGCTCAGCCAGCTAAGAGTCTAGAAGGATGGCAGCTCTCGGAAGAGGGAAGCTGAGGCTCTGCTGCCAGGGAATTTATAGGGGCCGAGGGGCTGGCTGGAGGAGAATCAAAGTGAGGGGATGCCAAGCTCCGGCTCCAGCTCCAGAATGGCTGCCCAGGCCTGGGCTCCCCCCTCAGCCCCACAGTCACCACTGCAGCCAATGGGGGGGCAGGTGCTGCATCAGGGGCGGGGCCACTATCTCCACAGCAACAAGAAGCTACAGGCTGGGGGGGGGGGGGCAAGACCGGAAGAGCTGCCTGTTAACCCTCTAGGTTCCTAAAAGAATGAGGGAGGACCATGTTACATTTTTCACTGCTTCCAGAATTGCAAATTGCCTTACAGTCAGTCCTCTTCTTCCTTTTACCTGCAAACCCTGGCTTACACACAAAATCTGGATGCCATGACACATGAACTCTTTCAGTCTCTCAGGAGCACTTGTAGAAAGCACAGAAACATTGAGCTGTGAGGGGTGCATGTATATTAAAGCCACAATACTAAAATAAATAGGGATCTATGTGCTCCAGAGACATACAGACAACCGTGAACATAGGGTTAACAGGAATTCACATTCTAAGACCCTGAGCCCCATGCATCCCCACATGCTTAGACATATGTGACCACTGCAACAAAGGAGTACATACTTGAAGTCTGACACCTACATGAGAGCTACTGGCGTGGGTTTTATGGCCCAAATCCTTTGGGCCATCATGTGGACAGCACACCACAGACATTAACATGTAAACTCTAGGACAACTCAAGTCCCCAAACAAGGGAATACAAGTTTAACTCCTCAGACACAGCCTTGAGTATACCATGTCCAATCCCTGCACAATCTCCAGACCATAATCTCAACCACATAAAGGAATCCCTGTGTCCTGAAAGTATAAACACCCTCCAGTCCCATGAAAAGTCCTAACACATGGGTTCTCTCAAAGGACAGTCCCCATTTTCTCCCTAGTTCTTCCCTAACTCTAACACCTGCATTGAGATTGCTGGGGGTCGGGGCGGGGGGGGGGGGGGGGGAGAGGGGGGGAGGGAAGAGCAGATGTGTTTCATTTATCCTTCTGCTATACAGTAAGCAATGCATGCAAGGGCCCAGCACTTCTTTCCAGTCCATTTCTCTGCATTTCTCGAGTATGGCTGCTTCACTGTCATTTCAGGGAACCTTGCTCAGCCATTAGCATCACACACATACAGCATCTCTAATAAAGGGTAATAAAATCCAACTTTAAATCTACTAAAATTCTGCTCTGGAATGAAAGGATTAACATGGGGGAAAGAAATTGCTAATTGGTTTGCTTAGTTCTTGGAATATACCTTATACCTATTACCAGGAGCTGAGATCTATGAACTCACACATAAGTCGCAGGTACACAGGCCACATACACATATGCTTACAAAGACTCTCACTGCAGCAAAGAATAGCAGAAACAAGAGAAAAAGTGGGGGGGGTGTGCAGAGTAATGAAAAAACAAGACATCCTGTTATGAGTGCTACATGCACTAATAACACAGCACACACAGCCATGCACACACACACACAAAACTAATAACACAGCACACATAGCCATGCACACACACAAAACAAACCTGAAAAGCTTTGACTGCAATGCTGGGTCTCTGTGTCCCATCCGCACGATGTATACACGCATGCACATGCATAACAGCCACCTACACATACCCGTAACACAGGCATTGTGCACACACCCACACATGTACACACCCTGTATACACATACAATTGCACTCTCTCTCTCTCTCTCACACACACACAGCAAGGACTTGGACTCCTGCCTCTCCAATGTCTCTAATCTTGTCATCTCCCCCCTGCCTTCCAATCCCCCAAATCCCTAGCCTTCTCTTTTGCCTTTCTTTTCCATGCCCAGCTGGCAGCTCTCAAGGAGAGCCAGGGGAGAAAGGTTGCCAGAGGATGAAGAATAGGGATGGAAAGGGAGCAGAGCTCTACCATCTCTGCTATGACAGGTCTGAGCCAGCCCCTATGCCTGGGTAGCCTCCAGATTCCAACTAATTCTACAAGACCTCTTGCATCTCCCCACCTTCTTAGAGAGCACTTTACAGAAAGGCCCAACTGTCTCCTCACCCTGCCTCCCAGTTCCCCATCTTAAGCCTATCCTCTCCTCTCTTCTAAGTCTGGCTCAGCTCTCTTCCCACATCCCCATTCTCCAGCAATTCTTTCTCCCTGAGTCTCTGGAAGCCTTTCTCATTCCTCCTCTGCCCTGTTCTCCCCACTTTTCTTCTTTACCCCACTCTTCTTTTTGAGCTTCTCTGTTCCCACTCTGGGACCAGGGAGGGGTTCACACCTGCCTAGGTCCAAAGGTGTTTCTTTCATGCACCATAAGATTCCAAGGTACACACACTCACACTTTCTCCTCCCCACCACCACTCACACACCACCCACACCCAGACACGCCCTGGACACCAGTGCTGGGATTGACACAGATACTAGGGCAAATGCAGGAACACATGCAAAGACACACACCTGCCACCAGGGACACGGAAAATTCTGCTCATGCAGCCAGCCACACATTCCTACACACACGAGGCTAATAGGAGGCCAGCCTCCGCCAGGGACATGCACGTTCAGGGTCAGAGGTGACAAGGCAGTGCTGGCCCAAAAGACCCTCAGGCAGGAAACCGGCAGAGGCAGGATAAGACCGGGCAGGCTTGCACGCGACTGACGGCACAAGTGGGCACGAGGAGCTGGGCCCCGTGTGCACATGGCACCAACACACATGGGGGACAGGAGCGTGGACGCGAACACATAAGCGCGCGCGCGCGCACGCGCGGGCACACACACACACACACACACACACTCAGGGGCGCCCCTTGCAGCCAGGGCTCCAGGACCCCCACAAGCCGGCGCCGCCCCCGCGCGCGCTCACAAACCTGCCCCCAGAGGCCGTGCCGACCTCCCCCCACCTCCGCGGCCCCCCTCCGGTTACCATAACTCCCCCCACTCGGAAGATGCAGCGAGAACATGCGGAGGGAGCAGCTGCTGCCGCCGCCGCCGCCGCCGCCGCGGCCTCCCCACCCCCACCCGCGCCCCCGCACACGCGCGCCCCCCGCCCCACGCGCGCGCGGCGCCCCCCCCCCCCCGCCCGCCAGGCCCCGCCCTTACCTCGCACCGCCCCCCGGGGGGGTCGAGGGTGTCCCCGGTGGGGGAAGGGCCCCGCCCCTGCGCGGGGGAGGGGCGGGGTGCGGAGGGAGAGGGGGCGGCGCGAACCGCGCCGCCCGACGCGGTGGGGGCGGCGGCGGGGCCCGGGACGGCCGGACGGCCGCGCGGTGACGGCCGCGGGAACGGCTCCCTCCACCGCCGCTCCCGCCGCTGCCGCCGTTGCCCGGGCCCCGCCGCCGTTGCTAGGCGACCGCTGCTGCCGTGGCCGCCTCTGTCACGAGCCCCGTCGCCCAGAGACAGCGCGAGAAAGACGGGGGAGGGGGACATGGGGACCCCCAAAACCAACTGGTCCTTCCACCATCGTCTCTGAGCAGGACCCTCTCCTCACCAATAAACAAATACAATGAAATAAAATAAAAAAGCCCCGCGAGGGCTGGGGGTTGCGGCTCCACCCAGCAAAGGAGGAGCCCCGATTCCAATGCCCCTCAAAGGTCCTGCGACCTCTCCCGTCTGGAAAGCCCACAGCCTCGGCAGGCAAACACCTTCGCAGATCAGAGCCCCCCAAGGGTCCCGACGACCCCGTGACCACTGCACACTGGCCATGTCCTCTACACGGTCCACTTCGCGCTCAAGACCGCAAACGTTCACCGGCTATCAACTCGGACGAAACCCTGCCCCATATATATATATGCATGTATATAGGTATACATGCATATATGTACATATAGATCCATGCTCCGGGAGCCCCTTCTGTCTACAGGACCCCAGCACAGCAATGTCCACATACCATCTCGACTCCAAACATACCTGTGCCCCCACCCCCAAAACACAAGACCCAGAGACCCCTGCTACAGACCCCCTAGACTCTGAGGACTCAGGGTAAGGAGAAAGATGGAGAACATGTGGGCAGAGTGGTCAACCACAGGGCACATGATAAACCAGCGCTCTGCCAGCTGGTGCCATTCTGGCCTGGGCACACAGGTCCACACACAAGCACCAGACAGGGACATGACATACATCCATGCACACCAATGCTCGGATTTGACAGACATCACACATACTCTCTATACACAGTGCACCACCGCCTGGCTTTGCCTCACAAGAGATAAGCTACCTACCCGCCACCCCCCATGGTCAGAGGTTTCCATGACAGTGACACGAGGTCCCAGAGCTGGCCCCTGGGGCAGTGAACCCTGGATTACCTAGAGGGAGCCAAGGGATAGGGACAAGCCACTGACTGTCTAAGGAAGCCACTAGAAAGCCTGGATCCATGGGGAGAGGGGAAAGTGGTGGGAGAAAGGGATCACTTGGGGCTTGGAGAGATGGAGGACCTAATCTAGGGTCCTGGGAGGGAAATTCAGAAGAAGGGGGCAGTGGCGAGGGGGTTTCCGGGGCCTGAGGGCGTCTCTCTGCACCTTGGCTGCAGATCTCTGTTCTCTGCCTTCATCTCCCCTCACTGTTCCCATGGAAACCTTTTAAGCGAACTTCTCAGGAAGACAAAAATCTTTTTTTAAATGACTAAAGAGGGGGGTGGGGGTAGAAAGGGGGAGGGAGAGGAAGAGACAGATGGAGAGAGGGAGAGAGTTGGAGAGACAGACTGAGATAGCTGTACAGACAGACAGAAAGGAGATGAAATGGGGTCTGATGGGAGTTTGCTGAGAACAGAGGGGAAGGCACTGGGAAATCAAGAAAGGGTACCTTGAAAATAAAGAGAAATCGGGGAAGTGAAAAAGAAAAAGGGGGCGATTCAACTGCAGAAAATAGAAGCAGTTGATGAGAAGAGGGGGAAAAGGGCGGGGGGGGGGGGGGGGGGGGGGATAAGAAGAGAGGGAGGGGCCACCGGCCTGAAGGTCTGGAAGAAGAATTCAGAGCATGAGGGTGGGGGGTGGGACAGAGGTCTGGAGGGAGGGCAGGAAGTAGGTCATCCTCTCCAAGATCCCAGACCAATGGACGGGAGGGCCAGGGGCAGGCACGCTTAACAGAAAGCTGAAGATCTAAGGAGACTATTTTTACAAGCACCGGGAAAACAGTCCAACTTCGCTGCTGGAGAGGAAAATGGGAGCGCAGCAGAGCAAGGACGCGCTGGGGCCTCAGGCACAGCCACGGTCCCGCCCCGCAGCTCCGACTGGGTGGGCGCCGCCTCGCCGGGAGGAGGCGGAGACTCTGCCTCCGCCCCCTCCCGCCCCCCCACCCCCGCCCGGCCTTCCCCCGTCCACCTCCAGCCCTGTCCCCGCCACTGTCCGGGGCACGAGAGCCTACTCGGCCGCCGTACCATGCTCGCCGTGGGGCCGCCCCTCCACTGGCACGGAGACCGTGCGTCTCAGCAGTTTGTTGCGGCTGGACTCGCTCCTCCGGTCCCGGATCAGAAGGGGGTGTATCTAGGGGATGCGGGGGGGGGGGGGGTCAGACCTCACTGGCCCGTGTCGTCCCTCCTCTCCCCCCCCTCCCCCACAACCCTCCACAGAATGCGGGCCCCATTCCACCCAGCCTGCCACCTCCTGCCCCTGCCCACTCTTCAGGTGTCTCTGGGGGGGGGGAGATTTCTCTTTGCCTCCTCTCCCTTCTCCTTCTCCAGCTTCCCACCCCTCCCTCCCCCCCCCCCTCACTGTCTCATCCACTTCTTTTCTCCTGCCATTTCTTTGGAAACTGCCTAAGAGAATTCTCCCAAACCCTATTTCAGCGCTTCCCGCGGAAGTCCTCAGGAGTTAGCTACCTGCAGAATGCACTTTCCCCTTGACCTTCAGTTCGTCCATTCTCCCCACTTCCCTCCCAACCTCCCACCTCCCTAACCCCCTTCTCTCCCTCGAGCCTGTCACGGGGGGTAGCAGAAGCTGCATTTATAATCAGGATCCACAGCTTGTCTCCCTCCCACGGCCCCGGCTTGCGGCCAGACTGGGACCCAACCTCCCCTCCCCCTAGAGGGCCTGGTCACCTCCCCCCACCCTTTCATCTCCTTCCATCACCTCCCACCCACACTGCAGTTCCCTTCTTCCCTCAGTCATTACCTTTCCTTTCTTCCTCACCTCCAACTCCCCCAGGGCATCTTCTTCCCAATCTCCACCCCTACCAGGAGCCACAGTATCTAAGGACCCCCCCTACACACACACACCCACACGCCAGCCACCAGCCCCTACCCCTCAAGGCATCCACTTAACAATTCCCTGGGGCTCTACAGACAGCTCATTATCTCAGTGCCGTCCCCTCTGCTCCCCCACCTTCCTACTGCAGACTGGCCATTAATGCTGTCCCTCTGCTGACTGCGCACTGGGCCCTCTCTGTCCCCCTCTCTGTCATTCTTTCTGCGTGGGACCCCTACCTACTGTCCTTACAGCAGTCTCCAGATTTCCCCAGTTTGCCCTGTAGACTCCAAATCCCTGCTCAAGGCTGATGACCCCGAGTGAATCACTGAAATGCCTTCCAGTGCCTACAGCTTAAGACTCCTCAGTCGCCATGACCTCCACTACACAACTACTACTCTGTGGTTTGGAAGCCCTTGACCCAGCCATCTCTTCACCCTACCACCACTCCACCTCCCCATCCCCACCCCCCAGGACCCTTTACAGTCTAATGAGTCCTTACTCCAAGTCAAGCCCTGCCTCACTTACCACACTATTCCCCAATAGCCTTCTGGCACATCTCCCCCCACTTTCCTGGGCTTTCAGTATACCCTACCATTCTCTAGAATTCATCCTCAATACCTGAATCACACTGGAGAGCATCCACCCTTCACATGTGCATATTATTTCCTCTGATGGACCTGCTACTGCTGACTCTACTCCCACTTTAGAAGCTCCAAGCTCTAAAATCTTACATAGTCACGCCAGACTCCCCAGTCTTTTTTTGTTGGTGGTGGTCATGGGGCTTGAACTCAGGGACTAGATATTGTCTCTAAGGTCATTTTGCTCAAGGCTAGCACTCTACCACTTTGAGCCACAGCACCATTTCTGGTTGTCTCATAGTTATTTGGAGATAAGAGACTCACAGCCTTTCCTGCCTGGGCTGGCTTTGAACCATGATGCTCAGATCTCAGCCTCCTGAGTAGCTACAATTACTGGCGTGAGCCACACCAGTGCCCGGCTCCCCAGTCTTATTTTATGTGCTTCACCAGTTCCTGCCCCTACCTCAGTCCTACTCTTTTAGCCAATTCCCCATATTCCCAGTTCTCCTACTCCACAGGTATCATCTCCCTGCATAATTATATTCCTTCCTGATGTCCAACCAGTTCCAGGGACAGCTCTCCTATCTCTCTAAACCCATTCATGCACCTGAAGTCTTCATCCCTAGCCACGCCCAGATCCAGGTACCTCTGTCACCTCTCCTAGTACCCTCACCCACTCTCCTACTTACCCTGTACTCTGGATCCCTCTCTGCACTGTGTCTCATGATGAGGAAAGAATAAGAGTGATGTATGATGGCTCTTGCTCAGTGCAAGAGGTCAGGGGTCCTAAGCTCACTTTGGAGGGAAGGCCTGCCTATTTCTCCCAGCTTTTTAATTTCCCTTCCCCATTCTAACTTATCCCACTATACAGATGGATGGAAATGGGAGGCACCTCAAAATCTTCAGGATCACATCTCCCCAACACTATCAATGACTCTCAAAGATCCTCTGGCCAAGGTAAAAGAATGACTGTCCCTTTTATCATACTACAACCCAAACCTCAACAGCAACCTTCCTCCACTTGCAAATGCTTCTACCTGTTTTGCATCTCTTTCCCCTTTAGCTAATGAGGGCTCCCACACTACCCAGTGATCTTTCCCCAACCTCTTCACCCTGCTCACCTCATCCTCATCCAGCATGAGCAGCTGGTTCCCCGAGATGATGCAGAACCGAGGGTTCCAACCAGGACGATCATACGGGGAATGAACGTATTGGGTTCGGTGCATAGGGGGTCCCCGTACATCTGGGGGACAGAGACACACAGAAACAGTAAGGGAGGCTCTATGTGTTTAGGAGCAGAGGCCTAAAATGGCAAGAAGAGTCCACAAGGTGGAAGGAGGAAATCCCCCCCCCCACCGTACCCCCAAGAGATCTCAGCTGAGGGTTGAGGCACGTGGCAACTTTAGAGGAACAGAAGACAAGCCTTTACATCTGAGGAAAAAGAAAGAAGGGGAATCACATAATCACAGGAGGCTCTGTAGACTTTGTGTAGAGTACAGAGGGGTGGCTCTGGGAGGGAAATTATATCATGACGGGAATACAGTTGGGGGTAGAGAGAAGTGAAGGAGTTCTCCAGCCTCTTGGAGAAAATAAAAAAAAGTGGAGGTGCAGCAAAACTGGCAGAAGAAAAAACACATAGACGTTGGTGGCAGGTGTCTGGGAAGAGGAGGAGCGTCCAAAAAACTGCCTAAGATGGACTTAGAAGAGGGGACCACAATCTTCTAGGAAGTAAGAGATTGAGGAAAGCTATACAGCTGTGAAAAGGAATGGGGGTGGGTCATGAGATTTGTAAAGCTAAACAACTAAAAGAGATGAAGTAGGGGAGGGGCTTGCCTGTTCACAGTGTCAGGGACATAAGATTCAGGGCCTCCCCTTGCTCGTGCCCTCCTCCTCTAGTCCTTGGGGGGAAAGTTGTTTCTTTTGGTGATAGGGAGAAGATGGCATTTGTTAGCATCTACCTGTAGAGGTGTCAGGATGGAAGAAAGTGGGCAATATAATCTGGTTTCAATAACTAGAGATCAAATTGGTCTCTTTCCCTATTTCATCGAAGATTCAGTCCTACCCTCCCTCCCTGTGGTCTCCATTGACAGGATGGAAGCCAACTCCACAAGTGAAGAACCTCCCCAGGCACAGTGAACAGCTTGAGGGAGAAAGAGTGAAGAGAAGAATGCAAAAGCCAGGCCTGATGACCCTAAGAGTTGGAGGTGAAACAGAGAACAGTAGGCCAGGGGTCACTCATGCTCAGATATGCTCCTAGGATGCCCCTTCCCCGTCCTTGCTGTTTTGCCCTGCTCTTCTTCCTTGCAAATCACCTCTCCTTTCAATTCATTGGTCACACATCACAGTTACAGACCCTGTGGAAGTTAGAGAGAAGGCACATAGATTGTTGACATCAAAGTGACAGAAATTAGGCTTAAGGTATCAGAGTAAGAGTCTTGAGGGATAAAAATCAAATTCTGTTACCTTTGTGGGACATTTAACATGGCTCATCTTTGAGCAACATTCCCCTGCTTAGAGTAGGAGCTCTGGAAAAATTACAGCCCCTTTCTGTCTATAATCATGTCTGTCACATTTATCCAACTTGCAGGTCAGAGTGAGAGATGAACCCCCAGGACATAAATACCTATAATGCACAATACTTTAAAATTTACACGGTCTTAACTCTCAGGAACTCATATTCTCTAGTTACAAAGATCAGCAATACCTAGATTGTGTGACAACAGAGAGTACAGGCAACAGGCCTTCTGCCCTCAGACACCTGGTATACCCAGAGGATAAAATCTGTTGTTATACATAATCATAGTGGAAGAGGCTAGTTGACTCAGATCTGCAGCTGAGGAAAGCAGGTTTAACTTCAGGGGGATACCTTTCTCCTGGGAACAGGGAAGGACCCAGGGAACTTAGTTTAGGAACAACTCTGTAAACACACAAACACACATAGACACACACACACACACACACACACACATGCACACACACTGGACTTAAGGAAGAATGACAGTGATCCTGGGAGACAGAAGAACATGGCTGAGAAGGGGGAATTTTTTTTACTAGAACAAGAAGTTCCACAAGGGCTCAGATAGAGATCCCTTACAGCTACTGTTCAACCATCAAAACCTCAGTATCTTTGCACCCCAAATCTCCAAAAACCCAGAAAACAGAGAAGTCAAGAGGAATGGTGATGAAGGCTAGGATATTATGGGAAACTGAGTAGGCACAGACTTTGGTGATAAGATGGGAGTGAAGTAGGAGATAGAGGGTAGGCCAGGGGACAAATAACAAGATGAGTCTAAAAGAAAAGGAAGCAAGGAAAATGCTAGGGACAAGGAAGTACACAAGAAGGGCTCAACCAGACATGGAACAGAGAAAATGAGAAGGCCTTAATGGAGGGGGGGGAGGCTAAGATATGGGGGTCTAGCAGTGAGTAGAGAGGTGGTATAGGTGTTAAGTGGGCTACTAGACAGAAAAGAGGAAGGGAAAGAATGGACATCAGGGAGGGGACTAATACGGGGGAAGGACAGGAGGGGGACTCATATAAGCAACGGACATCATATAGGGGGAAAGATATAGGTGATGGACAGCCAAAGAAGGGAGGGGGAATGGAAAGGGATGGGGTAGGGGGATGGGGTAAAGGTGGCAAAAATGAAGAAGCAGACCAGACCCCGTGGGTTGCATTTCACGTGTCAGAGGCTTTAATGAGGGTCAGAGTCCAGGGCAGGATTCTAACCTGCCCCCTACTCCCATTACTCAATCTTACTTGTATCTTCTCACCCTCCTCCCCCCCCCCCCCACCCAAACACACACATAATTTGGCTCTCCCCTTGCCCTGGTCTCCCCTCCCCCAACCCTTTCCCTCTCTCCTCTCTTCCCTCCATCTGGACCCTCCATCCCCCCCCCCCCCACTGCCACCCTCTCTCTCCATCTGGCCCCTTCTCTCTCTCCATCCTCCTCTCCTTTCCTCACCCCTACCATTCTCTGAGCCCCCTACCATAGCCTTCCCCCTATCTTCTTGGCTTCTTTTTCACCCCTGTTTCCATTCCCCCTTCCTAGCCTCTCTCCTAACACTGTGCCTCTATTTCCTTGATATTTTCCTCACCACTTAGCTCCCACCCCCAAATTATTTCTGCAGCTCTTCCCCCAACCCTATTTTTCTACCTTCCCACCCCTTTCTGGCTCTCACTTTCCCCTTCATCAATTTCCCCTCAACCCCCTTCCAGGCCTGTTTCCTGGCCCCTCAGTCCCTTACCTGCCCCTATCCCTCTAGCCTCCAATCTCTCTTTCCCCAAAGCTCCCACCCCTGCCTTCCCAGCCCTCCCCTCTCCCTCCATTTCAGCCGCTCCCTCCCCTCCCTGGCCCCGGCTCTCCTCCGCCCCCTGCCCCTCCCCCTCCCCCTCCTTTCCCCCAATTTGGCCCTCCCCCTGTCCCCCACCACCGTACCTCTGAAGGGGGCATAGGACATCGCGGGGATGCTCCCCCGATGGATGGACGCTCGAGACCTGCTCATCAGGCCAGGGGGGGAGGGGGCGGGGGACCGGGGAGAAACAGAAGAGAGAAAGAGGGGGAGAGAAAGGGGGAGAAGGAGGAGGAGGTGGTGGAGGAGGAGGAGGAGAGAGGAGGAGAGAGGAACAGAGAGGAGAAGAGAGGAGGAGAGAGGAGGAGGAGGAGGAGGAGAATAAGAGCCAACGGCAGCAGCGGCAGCAGAGAGAGAGAGAGAGAGAGAGAGGGAGAGAGAGAGGGAGAGAGAGAGAGGGGGGCGGGGGAAGCGAGCGAGAGAGAAGAGAGCTGGAGGAGGAGGAGGAGGAGGGAGAGACTCTGCAGCCCCCACCCCTACCCAGGGGGACCCAGAGGGAGAGAGAGACAGAGAGAGAGACCCCTGACTCAAACATACTGGAGAGCAAACTCTTGAAGATGCAGACCCCAGACCTAGAGACCAACAGACCCCAGAATCAGATACCTCATTCTCCCTCCATACACAACAGGCTAATCTGAGACACAGTCCCAAAATCTAGAGGAAAAGACGTTGCTGACCTGTTTACAAAAAAAAAAAAAAAAGACCCCAGAATATGCTCCCCCCCACACACACATCTGAAAGGAGTTAAAGATCAAATCTGAAAACCTAGTCTCTAAAGGTTCTAAAAGTCACAGAAATCTTAGACTGCAGACCCTGGGGGTAGTGTTATTTAGGAATCAAGACATGAGACCTAGACTCAAAGAAAAAGATGAAACTCAGATTAGAAAGATCCTGACCCAGAATTTGATTTTAGAACTCAAGATACAGGAAGAGATCTGAGAGACCCCAGACTCAGATCTTAGAGAAAAGAAACAATACACTAAGAAAACTCAAAGGCTTGGACAGAAACTCAAGACTGGGGGAAAGACTCAGGTGGCCCAGAGGTAGACGACTCAAGAGACCTGAAACTCATAAAATTGGAATGACCTCAAAGAGAGTGAGAGACCATTGGACCCTGAAACACAGAAAACCCTAAAACAGCATAGAAAGAGACTCTGTCTGGGTCAAGATTCCAACACAAATACTGCAATGCTCTACAAAGATCACCAACTCCAAATCCAGAGATCTCAGAGAGACACCTAGTCACTCAACTCCAGAGAGTTCTTAGAAACTCTCAGAGACGCCCACCACACCAAAGACCCCAGACTTTGGAGGGAAGGGGAATACTTGTACAACCTTTTTTTTTTCTCTCTCTCTCCCCTGTTGTCTCCTCTCATTTATCTAGCCTCTCATTGGCCCCTCTCTCCATTTTTGGGTCACTGGATGTGCTTGGGCCCCAGGGAGGTTATGTAGGGCAAGTCCAGACTCCTTGGGGGATGGGTTAAGGAAAGGATACCCAATGCTCTGAGGTGGACCAATCCTGGGGATAGAATAGATAGGGAAGATGCCATTACTCTTATCCCCAATCTGCAACCTTCCTCTCTCTTTCCTTCGATTCACCAGTCTGTACCAAGCTTTGGGTTTTCAGTGATGAGGGCTGAGGGCGACCTCCCAGTTTAGAGTTGTCCCTGTCCTTTTAAAAATGCATCGTTTCTCATCTTAGCCATTGTTATGCCATGACTCTTCCTGCCTAATCACTGCCCCCTACCCAGGGACAGCTGGTTCCTCCTCAGCTCATCCCTGTTCATCCCCACGCCAAGGTACAGCTGAAAGGGTAGGGGGCACTCTTCACGTCGCAGGATCTGTACTTGCAGATCCCCACACTCTCTAGGGCCTCTAACCATTGCAGGGGGGCTGTTACTAGGCACATCCTGGGGTTTGGGATGATTCCCCATTCCACAGCCTGACGCATCGAGTCTGCGGGGTCTCCAGCCCCCCCTTCCCCAGCGCCAGCTCTCGTGTCACGTGGCCTCCAGAGCTAGCCTGCCATTGGTCTCCTCGCGTCACTCCCCGAGGTAGCGCCGCCAGAGAAACCGGCCCAGTCACGTGACAGTGGAACACCGCAGCGGCTCCCCTCAGCCAGCAACTAGCGATTTCCTGCTTCGCGGAAACGGGCGGGCCATTTCCGCGCACCTCCGCAGATCCGACTGCCAGTTGGCTAAGGAGCCTTTTGCTCCGCCCTCCCAAGGAGGCGGGGCAATCCGGGCCACTTGAAGGCCAGGATTGGCTGGCTGTAGAGACTCTGGTCCTGCTTCTGTTGTCACGTGGTGTGCGTTGTTTTATCACGTGGCCGCCGCCAAGGTAAGGAAAGGCTGTCTCTCCCGGGTGTGGGGTCCTTTCTCTAGGTTAACTGTGGCTTTTGATATCAACCTTTCTCTACCAGCATAAAGGCTGCATGTGGTGGGGGCGGGTGCCCACGGTCCTGCTCGGCGGAGGGGTGAGTGCCCTGCCTCGCCCCTTCCGGTCCTAGACGTCGGGACCACTATCTGCACCCAAAGAGCCTAGAGGCTGGGCCGCCGAGGTGTCCGTGAGCGCCGACGTTTGGTCCTCTAGCCCAAGTTTCTTTCCCAGGTGTAGAGTAACATTTCCCTTTGGGATGTAGATGAGGGAGGGCAAAAGCTTTGGGTGTGTCCAAGAGAAGGCATCTTGGCTTACGACTTCTTGGGATCATTGTAAAGAGAGACTGAATTCGTCCCCTGTTCTCAGGCCACTCTGCTCCTGTCGTTTCTTTGGATGCCAGCGCTGCTACCTGTGGCTTCCCGCCTCCTGTTGCTACCCCGAGCCCTGTTGTCCATGGCTTCAGGAAGCTGCCCGTCCCAGCCCTCTCAGGCCTCGGGCTCCAGCTATGTTCCAGGATCAGTTTCTGCAGCTTTCGTCTCTTGCCCCAATGAGAAAGTCGCCAAGGAGATCGCCAGGTGGGCACTTCAGAAAAAGGTCATGAAGGGAGATTGGGGAGGGGGGGGTGGCTTTCTGTTGTCCAGCTTTGGAAGTCTCAGCTACCAGAGCAAAATTCTGAGTCACAAGGTACTCTGAATGGAACTCTCTCTTTACCCTCAGGGCTGTGGTGGAGAAGCGCCTAGCAGCCTGTGTCAACCTCATCCCTCAGATCACATCCATGTGAGTCCTAGCAGTTACTTTGCTAACCTAAGTTGGGCTGACTGGGAGGGAGCCTTTTTCCTGGGAGAAAATCCAAGACTTTCTCCCTATCTCTTTCTATGGTTTCTTCAGCTATGAATGGAAAGGAAAAATTGAGGAAGACAGTGAGGTGCTAATGGTGAGAAACATCCCCCCCCATCCAACAGTTCCCAGTTGCCTTTGGCCCCTGTCCCTAGGTCCTGAGATCAATCCCACTTCTTGATTCAGCCATGTTTACCTTTGCCATTTAGATGATTAAAACCCAAAGTTCCTTGGTCCCAGCTTTGACAGAATTCGTTCGGTAAGAACTTTTTGAGATTTATAGGGTAAGGGTATGTAGGGACTCTGGGGAGGGATTTGCTGGACAGTCTGGGGCTTGTGCTTGAGGGGTTGGGCTCCTCTAGATAAACACTTGAATAATCCTTTCCCCATCGTCCTGCAGGTCTGTGCACCCTTATGAAGTGGCTGAAGTAATTGCATTGCCTGTAGAGCAGGGGAACTCTCCATACCTGCACTGGGTGCGCCAGGTCACAGAGTCTGTTTCTGATTCCAGCACAGTCCTACCATGAGTCCTGTCCTCAATTCTCTCATACACTTCATTATCCTCTGACTTCCATGGAGTGACTGGGCCCTCAATAAATCCTGTCCCTGGTTTTCTCTGCCTTTTACCTTTATTCCTTGTCACAGATGGGCATTTAGTTCAGAAGTCCTTCTAGTCTCTATGTTCTATTTTTCAGAATGACTCAGCCACTAGTTTATTTCTCTTTATTTCAGTCATAGAGAATCTGGGATCCTTTATCATCCCCCCTCCTCAGTCTTTGCACCCAGGGGTTAAATAATTTTTAAAAATATTTAAAAAGCTGTAACAAAATAACATCAAAAGGAATAGGAAGAAGGATGAAGGGGGGGTCAGGAATCATGAAGGGATAGAGAAGAGAGTCTCTTCCCCATCCCCCTTTGGATTCCAGCCTGGGCAGTAGGGAGAACTACCCCCTATCTCTCCAGGTACATCCCAGCTGTAGGTGAGGTCAGAGGTCAGGGTATGAAAGTGCCGATGTGTGCAAATGGGGAGGTGGGCAGGGGCAGGCTGTTTAGAAGATGCCCCCTCCTCCCCACTCAACAAGGTACTGCACAGAGCCATCAGGCCTTACTCTTCGAGCAAGGACCCGGACAGGGTCCCCTCGAGATAGGTAGCCAACCCCACCTCGGATTCCTCCTCCAGTCCCAGGAGACAAACTATGGCACAGGGGAGAAGGGGGTGCTGAATGTCTAGGAAGACCTGGGGAGGGGGCTGGGACTGAGGAAGATGAAGCAATCATCGAGTGGGGGTCACTTTTGGGGATGTCTGTGGGGAAGCCAATGTGAAGTTCCAAGGGCGACCTAGGAAGAGAAGACAATTTTAAATTAAGTCTAGTCAGACAGACGTGGACAAAGACCAATCAGAAATGGTGGGGTGGGGCGCACATGAGAATCAGAAGAAATGGTTTGAGGTAAAGGAATTTAGGATCATAGAAGTGGAGGAGTCACAGGTAATGAGGAACAAATTTACCTGTCTGGGGGTTCACTGTCCCCAGAGGTCCCTGTGGTGCTGGCAGAAGGGTGGAAGGAAGCGAACATCCGAATGGGGCTGCTAAGGTTGGGAGGATGAAAGTCAGGACTGGAGGTTAGAAACAAATCCTCTCCCCCTGGAATGGCAGAATCCAAACACCCCAGTGTAACCCCTACCCCCAAAACACTGGTTCCTAGACATTGACTCTAAAAGCCCGTATAGAACAAGAAACATGTAGCCAAAGGGGAGAGGAAAAAGAATTCTAGGTGACAAGAGTTAGAAGATGAAAATAACATACATCTGTTGGGAAGCATAGAAACACTGACCTGGGCAGACAGCGGGCATCTGTGGGCCGGAAGTTATAGCCCCTGCTGCCCTGGTAATTCTGGTTAGGGCTGGGAGATGGTGGTGACACAGAGGCCTAGAAGAAGAAGAAGAAGACTGAGAAATCTTCCTTGGTTCCTTCCCATCCCCCACCATTTGCCCCACTGAATTCCCCCTGCCCCTGTACCTGCAGTGCCCTCTGCAGACGAGCCCTCTCCCTCTGCTCCCGGGACTCGGGCTGATTGCGCACTGCTGAGGGTGGCCCCAGCTCCTCCACCTTCCCCTTCTGCCTCCTCAGGGGCTCTGGCTCCGGCCTCCGTCGCTTCCCCAGGGGACTTGAGACCCCTCCCCCAGGGCCCTGCCCTGAAGGGAAGCTGTAAGAGGCCTCCTTATCCCCCCAGCCCCCTCCCGGACATCCCAAGACCTCCCCCTCTCTATACATTTGCCCTCCAGACTATCCTGGGAATTTCCCCCATCCCTGCTAGACCAGTGACCTGGTAGGGGCTCCATCTCCAGCAGGGGGGGGCTCCACAGGAGGAGGGGTCCGAGCATGGAGACCAAACAAACATTTCCTCTTCTTAATCTCCCTCCCAGAAATGAAACTGGGGCAAGGAGAGAAATGATATAAGGTAAGTGCTATAGAAAAGGGGTCCGTTTGCCATTCTTTAGTCCTCCAGGTGGGTTGAAGCTGGCCCTTCCCTTCCCAGACATCCAGTGTTCTGAGCCTCCCTGCTGGCTCTCCCAACCCTCCAACTTACCGGTCCTTGTGGCTGTTGAGAGCAGAGAGAAGCTTGGAAGAACGTTCTCCCTTGGGGGTATCTGAAAGCTGGGAAAAGGCAAGTGAACTGAGTCCGGAGAGTGGAGGTTCTCTCCTACTTTTCTTGACGTTTCCTGTCTGTCCACCCCGATGCCCAAAGCTCTACTACCCCTTACCTCCCCCAGGAGCAGACTGTCCCAGTTCTCAGAGGTGAAGGGGAGGATCTCTCGGTCAAAGTCAAAGTATTTCTTCTTACAACAAACACTGAGGTGATAGAGTACAAGATGGGCCACATCCACCCTGGAGAAACATGGAGTTGTCAAGGCCATGAGAACATGACAGAAGCCAAAGGAGTCCTAAGGTGGGAGGTAGGAGCATTGGGGTGAAATGCTGAGCCCGTGCCCAATTGGCTTACCAGCGAAGCTGTAGCCTCCGGACCTTCTCAGGCCCCCCCCTACACACACAGCATTCAAACTCATAGAACCTGGACATGGAAAAGGAAGAAAACCCCACCTTACTTGGACAACCTATATATGCCCTGGAGAACTTACAAGCAAGGAGGAAACACTGCAGGGGTTGGGAACTGAGGACAGAACACAACAGGAGGGCATCCTCAGCTCCAGGGGACCTTGCTCTGGCCTCACCTGTCACCATAGAGGAGGGGCTTGCTCAGACACTGGGTACAGGCTTCATGGAACCACTGCAGGCAGCTCCGGCACTGCAGCATTTTCAGGTTCCACCTAAGGAGAAACAGAATTAGTGGGCTCCAGAAAATGTCTTCCCCCTCACCCTGCCCCTTCACCATTCCTCCAGGTCTACCACCATGTCACCTACTCCGTAACTTGCTACCCTTCAATACTTACTCCCCAGGGCCACCACAGTAACAGTAGCTCTGCTGTCGGTTGCTCAGATGTCCAGCGTCCCAATCCAGCCCCTTTAGTCCATATGGAAGAGAGAGCTTCATGCCCAGCATGGCCCGGGCATAGGGACCTTTCTTCAGGGCACCTCCCCTCTGTGGAGAAAGAACTGGTGGGAGGACTCTGGGGTAGGAGAGGCACCTTGAGAGAGGCTGTGGGTGGAAGACTCCCACAGGAAGGGGCAACAAAGAGATGCCTTTACCTTGGTGGCAATCGCAAAGACACACTGGCGGCAGACCCAGGATGTGCCCTCTCCTTCTCCAGGGGCTGGGGCTCTGGGAACATGACAGTCCTGGTGATAAGCTGAATAAGGACAATATTGATAGTGGACCACCTACTGAGCTGCATATTTTGTAACAGTCTTGTCTCATTAATCCTTAACTATGGTCCTACTGGGTTGAGTGCATTATCCTGACAGAGAACTGAGGTTCCTAGAGATTTAAGGGTGTTGTCCAAGCTCAGATGATTAGAAAAGATGTGATATACCACCTGCCTGCAAAGTTTACATCACCTCCGTTCTATGGCTGTCTCCTGCTGTGCTGGAAGGGGATGAGGCCAGAACTGTGGTCTGACAATTCAGACTAGGATGGGGGAACAGAGGGAAGGGCTAATGGCAACTCAGAAGGTCCAGGGCAAACTGGACCATTGAGCTGAGTCCTGGTGGTTACACCTGTAATCCTAACTATTTAGGAGGCTGAGATCTGAGGATTGCAGTTTGGTGCCAGCCTGGGCAGGAAAGCTTCTGAGATTTTTTTTTCCCCTGCCAGTCCGGAGGCTTGAACTCAGGGCCTGCACTGTCCCTGAGCTGCCTTTGTTCAAGGCTAGCACTCTTATCACTTAAGCCACAGCACCACTTCTGGCTCCCCCGTCCCACCCGGTTGTGGGGCTTGAACTCTGGGCCTGGGCACTGTCCCTCAACTCTTCAGCTCAAGGTGAGCGCTCTACCACTTGAGCCACAGCGTCACTTCTGGCTTTTTCTGTTTAGTGGTACTGAGGAATTGAATCCAGGGCTTCATGCATGCTAGGCAAGTACTCTACCCCTAAGCCACATTCCCAGCCAGCTTGTGAGATTCTTATAGCCAATTAACCACCAAAAAACCAGAAGTGGAGTTATGACAAGTGGTAGAGCACCAACTTTGTGCAAAAACTTGAGAGTACAATTCTCAGGTCCTGAGTTCAATTCCAGGACTGTCCTCCCCCCAAAACAAAGGACCATAAAGGTGTCCAGTCTTCTTACCATGGCGGCATTTCTCACAGCTGACCAGTCGGTTTCCAGGGACCACAGTCTCAGATCGACAGACACAACAAAGGAGTTCTTCCCCAGGGAGGGCAGCTGTAAAGGAACACAGTATCAGCATGGCTGCCCTAAAGTTCCAGTGTGTCACCCAAGCCAGGTTTCTAGTATCAATACTATCCACACTCAGGTTTTTTAGGGTCTCACCAGGGCTAATGTCTTTCCAAAGAACCAGAAACTGGGAATCATCCTCAAACTGGACCAGACACACCTCCCGTGCACTGTCCACCTGGAATGGGTGAGCACAAGAATGAAGTGAGGACCAGAATTAGATAAGGAGAATGGGGAGATGGTGAAAGATTAGACTTACCTTCTTGATGGTACCCAAGTACAAGAGCCCATCTGTCCATCTGGCCAGCACATCTTGACCCTCCCAAAGTCGAGGTCTGGGGCCTGAGGTGGGAGCTGGGGAAGCTGGGTCCCAAAGAGAGGGGGCACCAGAGCGGCTCAGCCGGGGGGGCTGCGCCATTGCATCCTGGGGAGGGGGGGTCTAGCCAGAATGAGATGGAAAGAAGGTTATGAAAGTCAAGTAAGCTTCCCTGTTCCCTTTGCCTATTTTTCTGTCAAGGATCAAGGACCAAACATCTGCACTCCCAGTCTGCAAAGCTCTAAGACACTTGGGTGAGAAATTACTGGTCACTCCAGTCCTTGACTGCAGCTCTTCCAACTCTAACCTCCTCCCCAGTCTAGTTCTTTAGTTTTTCAGCTTCCAGAGATCTCCTGGGACTAAATTCTGGCCTTGAGATCTTAGGGGAAATGATGGTTGCAGAAGCAACCACTCAATTCACCTTCCTCATCTGTTTTGGGGTATCATAT